AGAAGAAGTAGCATGTGAGGAGAGACCACACCATGGGGTGGCGGTCACAGCAAAGAAAGAAAGGGTGTGTGTGTGTGTGTGTGAACACAGAACCCACACAGCGCAGAAAAGGATGTTCAAAATAGTATAGATGGGAAGATAGAACAATTGTCTTATATGTCTAGCAAACTGCTGTTTTTTTTTTTTTTTTTTTGTTCTCTTGTACGCTAGATATCCTTCATCTTGGTTTTGTTTGTTTTGGTTTTATTGTATGTGTATCTTTCTTTCTATATGATGGGAGCGTAGCGAGCGATAAACTCTTCTTCCTCTAGTGGTTGTGGCTTTGGTCTCTTGGATGTATCGGAGAAGCGAGAAAGCTCTGCCAGGAGGTGTTGAAATGTGTCTTTGTTGTGTAGATGAGCAGCTGTACTTTTTTTTTTCTTTATTTTTGGTTCATCAACGAGCCATGTAGCGAATCGATTTTTGTTTTTTTTGTCACCAATACCAGGAAGAGATGTTTGAGTTCCTTCTCGTAGAAGAACGGTGATAGCCTGTTGGGAGGTGCAGTACATGATACGCTCCACATTTGACCATGGAATTTTGCAGTGAACAGCACATTGCTGGTGTTGTTCGCGCCTTGCAGATTTTTTTTTTACGATGTCTGCCCCGTCACTCATCGTCCATTCCAATTGTTCCTGTGTGAGGGTGAGTTTGTGTTGTTGCAATGAACTCTTGTTGTTGTCGTTGTTGTCTGCCTTTTCTTCCGTATCTTGGCGACGTAATCGTTTTGATTTAGGCCTCAGAGAAGGTGTTTGCAAGATGTTGAAACTGTTTCTATCAAGACGAACTGCCCGCAAGGGAACGGTGGTGGGTGATCCCCATTCTGTGCTCTTATCTCGTAGCACAATTGCTGCCGCCACAGTACCGCTGCGCCTTGTAGATGTATCTATTTCTGCGTTCCCATCACCCGCAGGGTTGTCATCGTTTTCCTTATCCTGTAGTACCTCGCGCGCAACTGGTGTTTGTGGTGATTCCTCACCCTGCTGCTGCTGCTCTTCATTTTGTTGGTGTTGTTGATGTTCGTTTTGATCGCGGTTACGACACCATCCCTTCACCACTGTTGGGGGCGGTGCGTCCTTTAGCATTGAATCACAATTAGCAGTTGGCGAGACTGCACGCTGCGGTGATTGCATAGCGGTCTGCTGAAGCAGCAGCTGCAGTGTCATTCGCTTCTCCTCTGCCTCAATATAATCGGGGGAGAGAAACACAGCTGGTGTTTCTTCGAATGCAAACGGACTGTCGTTATCGTTAAATGTGATGCGCCATGTAACGATTTCCGGGCCACATATTTTTGGCAACGATGCGCCAGCCGCCACATCCCGCATTCCACCAAGCACAATCACATCGCCATGATGAAGGGGTGTGAGGGAGTCATTCTCTACACGGATGTCATTAATAAATGTTCCGTTGCTGCTGCCCAAATCAACCAGACAGAGCTCTAATTGTTGATGCTGTTGGTCTTGATCTTGCTTCTTTTGCTTTTGTCGAGCACCGTTGCGATGGCGCTGTGTATTATGCTTTTCCTCACTCTCTACTATATGATCCTCCTTATTCTTGTCCTCTTTTCCCTCCAGCATGATTCCCGCTGTTTCCTTTGCTGCAGTGGAGACAGACCGCACAATCAGCTGACAATGGTGCTGAGATGCAAAGAGGAGATTGGCGTCTAGAACGAGATCATTCCCTTCTGCACGGCCAATAGAGAGAGGTGTACCGTCTATAGGCACACGCACGGAGAGACGACGTGGCAGAAGCGCCGACCCGCGCGTGAGAACCAACGCAGCGTTGAGATACTCCACCATGCAAGATTACAAACCAATAGTCTATGTTATGAAAGAGCACTTTAATGTGTAGATGTGTCACCATACAGAAATACGAAATATGTGGATCGTATGAAATAAAAAGAAGGAAAGCCAAAAAAAAGACAAAAAGATAGCTCGTTATCACCTCTAATAGTAGCGACATCAAAGAATACCCCACCATGAACAGGTGGAGAACAACAACAGGATTCAAGAAAAATATGAAGAAATATATATATTTATGTAAGAAATTAAGAACTTGTTGTGAGTATTGAATAAACTTCTACTATTACACATAGCTCACCGTCCTCATTCCTCACTGGACTAAGTGCAAATACATATGTATGTATAGCCAAATATATATATATATAGTTCACTTACATATTCATAGATGTGGCTCCACCACCTCGTTGCATTGGAGCATATTTTGTAAAGCAATGATTTAATGAGTACTTTCCATCATATGTTGCCTTCTCGCACTCTTTACCGTATTCCATAGCCGTTGTGCGATACAGTGGATGCATGGCTGTTCCTGTTGCGGCATTCGCAGACTTTCTGCGGCGTAAACTACCGTGTGATGTGGTACGACTGCTTTCATCATCTGCAAAATCCTCCAGTACGTTACGCTTTGGCCGATCAAGTGAAAAACTGCGAATGCATCGCAATTCAAAGTCATCATCACGTGTTGTTGTACGAGAAATACCAACATAATACGCTGCCAGTTCATCTGTTGTAATTCCAATACTCCCACTACCAGGACCGTTACCGTTGCTGCCGCTACCACCACCATTATGATTATGATTATTGTTCTTGCTGCTGATGCTGCTGCTGCTGCCGAGATTGGGGTGGATCTCTGCAAAATCGTTGAGGAATTCACGCAGGAGTGTATCCGGTTCTCGTTGTGTGAGGGCGTGTGGGTGTCGCATGGTGTCGTACAATTCACACAACGTGGCGAAAGTAACAAAGCCGCTGGAAGTTGGATCGACTTTGCGCAGCACGAGATTCACAACGTGCTGTCGGCGTGGTGATATTGTCGTGAGAAACGCACGTGAAAAGGCAATGGTATCAAAGGCAGCATTATTATTATTATTATCACCATTAGTAGTAGTAGTAGTAGTAGTAGTAGTAGTAGTAGTAGTGGCATCACGGGCAAATAGGCGAGTGAGAGCAGCAAACTCGTCATCGTCCAAGTAGAGATGAATGCGGCGCAGCGCCTCACGCACACCACTAACCGTACACTCGGATTTATCTAATTGCCGCACCACATGGACCACAAGCCACACTTTTTTTCTGCCGAGGCGCTCCACCGCCTTTGAGACAAGAGCATCCATTCTCTCTTTTACTGTTTTTTTTTTTTTTTTTTTTTTTTTT